AAAAGCCCCAAAAAACAATTTGACTAAGTAAATATAAGTAAAACCTTCATGACATTCAAAATAAAACACTTACTTTTAAAAGTTAAAATGCAAAGGACAAAGAGGCAGTTAGTTATACTTGAACAAAACATATAAGACTATGTTTAATGTATGAAGTCCTCTGTTAACAATCAATAAACTGGATTCCACTCCTGGAAAGACAGAGGAGATGCAGTTGTCTCGACTCATCCTGTGAAGTTTACCTACAAACCAAAGACATTATTCATCAAACCAACATATGGAGACTCTGAACGGGAAAGACAAAAAGGCACCCTGGCTAGGGGCCTCAGGGACCAGGGAACTAAACAGTAATGAGTTCTCCGTATCTTTTGGCCTCATAGAGATGGCCTTGACCAGATGTTTGAAAACCTACAATGCAGAAACACCCACAAGTGTACACAAAAAGGCCTGGAAAAAAGTGCTGTCTTTAGCCAAAAACCAGGAAAAGGGCAACAGAGAAAAATAAAAAAACTTTTAGACAAAACCTACTCCATCCAAAGACCACAGATTATAAAACAACAAAAACTGTGGGCTTGATTCATCTCTCATCAGCAAAGATTCAGTGGGTAGCCTAGACTCCTGCATTTGCCTGGCTGTCTGGGGATGCCCCTCCACTGCAATAGGGTAGTATGAGGAAAAGCCAAATGGGGAGCTGGGACTTTTATTTCTGCACAGTGGTACTGGGTAGTTTTCCTGCCATGCCAGTGGGAGCCACATCAGGGCTGGACTTCCATTCCTACCTAGCAGTAATGAGACACTCTTCCCATCACCACAGGTATGGTGTGAGAGGAGGCCAAGTGAAAATCCAAGACCTTCATCCCTCTGAGAGGTAATTAGGCCCCATCCACCCTAACAATATTGGAGAAGACAGCATGAAGAACAGAAACAAGGTACCCTCTCCTTCTTTCAGACAAGGTGATGTCACCAGAAGCTTACTGGGGAGCCCGAACTATCAATCCCACCTAGCAGTAATGAGGTGTCTCTCTCCCCAATGACTGTCGATAGAGTTCAAGCAGGGAACCTGCAAATTCACACCCACCTGGCAGTAATACAGCAAGGCTCCCCAATTCCCCACTGGCCCAGAGGACGCCTGCTAAAAGAAAAGACGCAAATAAGATCTAGAGTCTCATAATGCCCAAGGTTTCCACAAGACATTAGAAAATCGTTTGTATAACCAAGAACCAGAAAAACCTCAACTTGAATAAGGAAATGACCAATCAACAGGTGCTAAAACTGAAGTGATGCATGTATTGGAATCATTTCATAAGGATTTTAAAGTAGTCCTCATAAAAATGTTTTAACAAGCATATGAACACACTTGAAACAATTGAAAAAAATTTCAACAAAAAAAGAGAAGAGGTGAAGAAACTAAATGAAAATTTTAGAACTAAAAAAAATAACCAACATTAAAACTCAATAGATGGGCTCAAAATAATGGAGACTACAGAAAAAGTATTCTGAGTACCTGAAAATAAAATAGAAATGATCTAATCTAAAGAATGGAGAGAAAACAGACTGAGAAAAAAATGAGCAGAACCTCAGAGACATGTGGGACAGTAACAAAAAATCTAACATTTCTTAGTGGAGTTCCAGAAAAAGAAGAGAAAGGAATGGGGGCTGAACAAGAATTTGAAGAAATAATGAAGGAAAATTTCTGAAACTTCCAAAAAGATATAAACTTATAGATAGAAGCTGAGCAAATCCCAAAAAGGATAAACCCAAAGAAATTCACGCTAAGAAAGAATCATAGCAAACATCTGAAAACTACAGACAAAGAAAGAATGCTGAAAGCATTCAGAGAGAAACTACACATCACCTATGGGAGGAAAACAATGTGAATGACAGTGTGTGATACTAAGAACAATGGCTCCCCAAAGATGTTCACATCCTAATTCCCAGAAATTATGAATATGTTAGGTTACATGGCAAAAGAGAATTCAGGTTTCAGATCAAATCTATGTGGCTAATCAGCTGTCTTAAAATAGGGAGATTAATTATCTTGGATTATCTGGGTGGGTTGAATATAATCACAAATTTTCTTTAAAGTTAAAGCAGGAGGCAATAAAAGAGAGTCATAGAAAGATGCAATTACGAAAGAGTGGTCAGAGAGATACAATGGTGGTTTTGAAATTGGAGGAAGGGGCCGCAAACTGTGAAATATTAGCACCCGCTGGAAGCTAGAAAAGCCATAGAAAATAGAAATAGATAGATTCTTTCTTACACCCTGTAGAAAGGACTGCTGTCCTCTTGACAGCTTGATTTCAGCTCAGTGAGACTTTTAGCTCAGTGCTGGCTTTCTAAAATAGACAACTGTAAAAAAAAAAGTGTTATTTTAAGCAACTAAATTTGTGATAATTTATTACAGCAGCAATAGAAAATTAACATGCAGTAACCAAACAAAAATGATAAAAGAATCTGTCACATCAGGAAGAAAGAACAATAGAAAGAATAAAAATATTGGTAAATAGAAAAGATCTTACTGCTATATCTTACTGCTAAGAAAACACAAACTAGACACAATCTCTGGCAGAATAATCAATATAAAAGAACACATGGACTGAGGTGTGTCCTCCAAAAATTCATGTTTAGGCCCTAACTCCTAATGTAACTGTATTTGGAGATAGGGCTTTTAAGAAGTAATTAAGGTTAAATGAGGTAGGGGTCCTAATCTGATAGGACAGGTGGCCTTATAGAGAGATATTCTCTCTCCATAGGTAGGCAGGCAGTCACTGGAGAAAGGCCTGTGAGCATACAGTGAGAAGATTTCCATCTACAAGCCAGGAAGACAGCCCTCATCAGAACCTGACCATGCTTGCACCCTGATCTCTGAGTCCCAGCCTCCCAATAAATTTTTGTTGTTTAGTCCACCCAGTCTATGGTACTTTGTTACGGCAGCCTGAGCTGACTAACACAACCACCACCAACTCTGCACATATAAATTTGACAGCTTAGATGAAAGAGACCAGTTCCTGAAAACACACAAACTACTACAACCCTCTCAATATTACATAGACAATGTGAATAGCCCTATAACTCTTAAAGAAACTGAGTTTTTAATCTTAAAACTTCCAAAAAAGAGGGCCGGGCGCGGTGGCTCAAGCCTGTAATCCCAGCACTTTGGGAGGCCGAGGCGGGTGGATCACGAGGTCGAGAGATCGAGACCATCCCGGTCAACATAGTGAAACCCCGTCTCTACTAAAAATACAAAAAATTAGCTGGGCATGGTGGCGCGTGCCTGTAATCCCAGATACTCAGGAGGCTGAGGCGGGAGAATTGCCTGAACCCAGGAGGCGGAGGTTGCGGTGAGCCGAGATCGCGCCATTGCACTCCAGCCTGGGTAACAAGAGCGAAACTCCGTCTCAAAAAAAAAAAAAAAAAAAAAAAAAAAAAAAACTTCCAAAAAAGAAATCTCTAGGCTCAGATAGTTTCTCTGGAGAATTCTACCAACTATTTAAAGAATTAACATAATTAACATCAATTCTATACAGTTTTTTTTCCCCAGAAAACAGAAGAAAAGGGAATACTTCCCAGTTTATTATGTGAGGCTATGATTTCCCTGACACAAAAACTGGACAAAGTACAGAAAAAGAAAACACAAACTATCCACAATTTCTGGTGGAATAATCAATATAAAAGAACATATTCCAACTTATGAGGCCACAGTTATCCTGATACCTAAACCAGAAATAGTACCAAAAGAAGAAAGAAAAAAGAAAGAAAGAAAGAAAAGAAAAAAAGAGAAAAAGAAACAGTGATACCCTTCATAAATATGATACAAAAATCCTTAACAAAATATTGGCAAATATAAATAATTTAAAAGTATATTCCACAATCAAGTGGAATTTATTCCAAAGACGCAAGGCTGGTTCAATATTCAAAAATCAATCAATGTAATCTACCAAACCAACAGACTCAAGAAGTAAAATCACATGATCACATCAGTTGGTACAGAAAAAGCATTTAACAAAATTCAACTCCCATTCACGATAAAACCTCAACAAGATTGTTTCAGAAAGTAGTCTTTGGAGAAGGAGCACTGATATTCTGTGGAAATTTGTGACAAATAAAAATTCTCATATTCCATCTCATATCTACTAAATCAGAATCTGAATTCAAATGCAAGTAAAGTGTCAGAAGCACTTTTCTCTAAGATAAAAACAGAAAAACTGTTAGTGCTCCTTCCTTCCTCCCTCCCTCCCTCCCTCCCTCCTTTCCCTCTTCCCTCCCTCCCATCCCTCCCTTATTTCCTTCCTCCCTTCCTCCCTTCTCTCTCTCTCTCTCTCTCTCTCTCTCTCTGTCTCTGTCTCCTTCTTTCTTGAGACAGAGTTTTGCTCTTGTCGCCCAGGCTGGAGTGCAATAGCACAATCTCGGCTCACTGCAACCTCCAACTTCCAAGTTCAACCAATTATCCTGCCTCAGCCTTCTGAGTAGCTGCGATTACAGGTGCCCGCCAAGCCTGGCTAAATTTTGTATTTTTGATGGAGATGGGGTTTCACCATTTTGGCCAGGTTGGTCTCGAACTCCTGACCTCAGACGATCCATCCACCTTGGCCTCCCAAAGTGCTGGGATTACAGGTGTGAGTCACCGAGTCTAGCCTGTTGGTGCACTTTCAACAGGGTTACTGTTGAAGACTGTTCTGTCATTATCCATCTGAAGATCTCTCAAAAAATTTCTCAAACATCAAGAACCATGATAAATTACTTGTTAATAATATAAACCATGTATCCAATTTCCATTATTGCTATGTCTTTCAGGAAGATCAGAGACAATTTAACAAAGTTCATAACCATGTAAGACCATATATTCTAAACTTGACCTGGGGTTGACAGTCTCTTCTTCATTTTCTCTGATCTTAATTTTTATTTATCTAGTCTTGTCATCTTACTATAGGGATTGTTAGATGTCTCCTAAATCCACCCAAAGTAAAAGAAAATAAATAGACGAACAAATAAGAACTCACCAGGAACTTGGTCATTTTTGGCTCTTCGGACAAAGAGGCAGAGATCTGAGAAAACAGATGGGCAGAGGTACAGATGAGAGAAGGAAGTGTGCCGGTGTCACACATGGACGCATACATCGGTTAGTGCCCATGCACCTTACTCAAAAATTTATCTCTAGAGCTACAACATTAAAATATCATCCCATCGCATACTGTACAAAGATTTAAGTGCAAAAGTTTTACCATAACATGGTTAATAAAAAAGAAAGACGAGATCATCCAACATGGTGGTTGTCAAAAAAAAAAAAAAAAAAAAAAAAGATTAGAAACATTTAAATATCCAATAATTGTGGATTGCTTAAATATTTTATAAAATATCCAAAGGACATACTGTTCTATTACATTATCATACGATCTGATTTCACAGGCCCTTAAGGTTAACACCAACCCTGGTACCTAACTCCTTATTCTCACTCTTTAATCTGCTATAAGTGTCAATTGCTACCCAGTGACTCTACTCCCAAAGCCATTATTGAAATCTCAGATTCACTGATTCCCATGCCTTGCTGCTGATGAGCCCTGAATCATTTATCCTACAATTCCTGATCAGAGAACCTTCAGTTCCTCTGCTCTAAAGGCCCTGGCTCCCTACCAAACAATCCCATGTCCTCATGACTGGCCTCCATGCCTGTATCTCTATCAGATATCCTAAGAGTCCCAATCCTAGGCACACCTGTACCCGCCCTGGGGCCTTAGCACACAAACACATCTCCCACCGCTGACAAAACTAGGCCATAAACTCCTCCACACACGCAAACAGGAACTCAATCAATGAACAAATCTGGGGAAATTATTGAATGTAGAGGATACATTTATAAATAGAAAACACTTCTAATCTAAGTGTGGAAAACCAGACTATTCACAGAGAAAGAATGAAGGAAATAAGGACACCCTTCATTTGCAGTACTGAAAGCGAAATGATGTCAGAAATAGCAACTAGAAGACCACTCTTCTGCCAGGGCGAGAGAGACATTTTCAGAAATAGAAGCACTTGCAGAGTATCTCTGTCTTTGAGAGAAATACCAAAAGAAGTAGTCCAAATAAATGTCAAATGAATCTCACGAGAAATCTTCAATAGGAAAACACTGTTCAGTCATAATTCTTGCAAAATATATATAATTACAAAAAAGGACAATGTGACAATGTGATAAAGAGGCCACTAAAGAGAAAATTAATAATATCCTACGATAAAACATTTCTAATAATCTCAGGAAAAAACAAAAAATGGGGTGCAGAATGGAAACAATGAGCAGAAATTTCATCAATCCAATCAAAATATATAAAGAAAAGGCAGAAAATAGCAAGAGCTAAATAGTGAACATCAAATGGAAGGCATACAATCATTATTACAATAAATAGAGGTAAAATTCTATCAACAGAGACTATAAGTTGGATTCGGAAAAAAAAAGGTATCTTATTGTAAACAAATAGATAATCTAACATAGAAACAGATACGGATACAAAATAAAGCTCTGGGCAAAGACACATCATCCAAATGCAATAAAAGTAAAAACGGGAGGCTGTGTAAGTATCAACGTGGAATTCGATGTTAAAAAGTGCTTTTCTTTTTTCTTTTTGGTCGAAAAAAGGGATCCTATAGTAATAATAGCATTTAATAAATGAAAAAGGATTAAAAAGTCCATTAACCACAGGTGTATGTATGCTCGTCCCTCAGACACGCAAATAAAATGAGCAAAAAAGCACATATCACTGCCAAGTGAACTGTTAAAGAAGAGATTTTTATTCTATGTCTTCCAGAGTATGAAACAAGTAGATCAAAATTAGGAAAGATAAAGATTTGAAGAACACAAACAAACAAGACTTAAAGAGAATTTTGTCCCATACAACAAAATATACTTTTCCTCTTACATCTGTTGAACGAAGTTCATTGAGTAACTTGGCTTCAAGGACAATCTTGATAAATTGTTAAAAATTGAGACTTGATAGTTTGCACTTTCTGATAATACAATACAATTAAAAAAACAGCTAAAACATATTTTAATAATTTGGGAATGAAGAAACTGGGAATGAAGAAACTCTCCCAAATAGCTAAGGATCAAAGGGAAACAACAAGATGAATTTATACGTTTCATAAAGACGTAGTTAAAGAAACTTTACAACATTAACTGTATGCAGCATAAAACTTAAGAAAATAAGGGAAAGAACAGCGAATTACATCAAAATGTGGGGAAAAATAGAAAGTACCTAAAAAGAAAAAGAGAAAAAACTTAATATTAAAAGAGTTGGAGTATTAAAGAACCAAGAGCCAGTATTTCAAAATGTCAGATAAAATAGAAAAATAGATAAACCTTTCAGACGCTTGATTCTTTTTTTTTTCTTTCTTTCTTTTTTTTTTTTTTTTTGAGACGTAGTCTCGCACTGTCGCCCAGACTGGCGTGCAATGGCGCGATCTGGGCTCACTGCAACCACCTCTTGGGTTCAAACGATTCTCCTGCCTCAGCCTCCCGAGTAGCTAGGATTACAGGTGCCTGCCACCACGCCCAGCTATTTGTATTTTTAGTAGAGACGGGGGTTTCACCGTTTTGGCCAGGCTGCTCTCGAACTCCTGACCTCGTGATTCGGCCGCCTCAGCCACCCAAAGAGCTGGGATTACAGGCGTGAGCCACCACGCCCGGCCCGTTTCTTTCTAAAGCCAGGGTGAAAGAATGAATGATATATAAATATAATAACCGTAATGATAAAGGAGCTGCTAGTCTGGATATGAAAGAGAACAAAATGGAAATGGAAACATGCAATTCTATGGTAATATCTTCTTTAAATCTTTGGCAAAATATATCATGATAATGAAACAGAAAAGAAACTGTCAACAGATCGGTAATATAAAAGAGGAACCTAAGATGTACATCATTCATTCTGCATATCCCTCCTGAGTCCCCTGTCATCCTCCCCCACAACCCCATAGTCTGCCCTCACTCCGCCGGCAGACCCACCACCGGAGACCCCCAGCCCACCCCGACTCCTCCCTCAGATCCACCCTCAGAGATCGCGCCGACTCCCACTATTCCATCCACTGACGGTCCCCATCACTGCCCGGATGACTCGCCACAGACCTCGGAGATTCTTCTTGCTCAGTCCACAGATGCTGCCATCCCTCTACTCACCTGCCTCTCATCCACGTTTTCTCGGGACAGTGGTCATTTGCTTGGGAGGTGACTATAGTCGCAAGAACCTGAAAGGGACCCACTTCCTTTTTCTGAACGCCTCCCAGGCCCAGCAGGACTTCTTACAGCGCTGCCTGGGTGTGCGCACGCTCAGCAGTCTTCTTGGCCGAAGGTTGCCAGTAGTCAACATGGCGCTTTGCCAAACACGCTCCCTTTTCAGTTACTCAGGCTGGGCGCCAGTATGGCGGCGCCCATGTGGACACTCTGGCCTGTGGGCGGCCATGTTGAGATGATGTAGAGACTGAGGGCCTGAGGGCTGTCCAGAGGAAAGGAAGCAAGTGGAGGTGTCTCCCGTCATACTAAGCCAGGACACAATCAAAGCCTGTCTAACCTCATGTCTTTATTCAAAAAAGGATCACAGATCTCAATGTGAAAATATGAAATTTAAGGAAAAATTCTTCAGGACCTGGGACTTGATGAATAATTCTTAGACGTGACACCAAAAAGCAGAATCAATTATAATGATTTAGCAATTGGATTTTATCAAAATTTAAAACTTTTGCTCTGCATGAGAGCCTGTTAACATAATGAAAAGACAAGGTAAAAACTAGGAGAAAACTGCAAACCACACCTTATAAACCATATCTGACAAGGAGCTCATGTCTAGAATATTCTTAACATTTTCAAAAGTCAACAACAACAACAAAACAATCCAATAAAAAATGGGCTAAAGGAATGAATAGATATTTCACTGGACAGGATATATTGATAGAAAATGAGAAAATAAAATAACTTGTAACAGATGAATGCCAGTCCTTTTACATTATCAAGCCCAGAGAGACATTAAAATGAGACAGCAGTCATTTTGAGCTATGTATTCATCTCTCAAAACTGCTTGCTATTGCCACAAGTAGCTATAAATTAACTTAATAATGTCATACTGGGCACGATAACCCACACCCTAGACTTAACAATGTAGAGCCAATCACTAATCAATGTTATTTCTATAACAAATGAGAATTCCTGACAAATAACTTTGTATCAGCTCACTCCTTGTCTCCCTTTTTTGCTTTTAATAAAGGCCATAGAGAGTTCATATCCAGGGTTTCTTGGGGCTGAGTCTTTTGGGCAGCTGTTGTCCCTTTCCTTTGTTGTTGTTGGAGAGACAGGATCTTGCTCTGTGGCTCAGGCTGGAAGACTAGAGTGCAGTGGTGCAATCAAAGCTCACTATAACCTTGATCTCCTAGGATCAAGTGATCGTCTCACCTCAGTTTCCCTAATTGGGAAACTAGCTAATTGCTAGGACTACAGCATGCACCACCATGCCTGGCTAATTATTTTTGTGTTTTTTTTTGTACTGATGGAGGTCTCACTCTGTTGCCCAGGCTGGCCTTGAATTCCTGGCCTCAAGCAATCCTCCTGCCTTGGCCTCCCAAAATGCTGGGATTACACGTGTGAGCCACAGTGCCCAGCCCAACCTCTTACTTTTAGGTAAACAGAAATAAGCACATTAAAAGATCTGGTTCCACTTCCACATGTAAAGAGCCTGGATTCTCTCACATTTATATGAAATTTACCTCCAGGATCCCCACCAGGTTGTCATTGTGAACAGAAGGTAAATTCTTTTGTGCACCAGGCAGGGAGAGAGGGTTAGTAACCATTCGAAATACAACTAGAACATTGGGTTCTCTTTAAGAAAGACCTGCAATGGAGATGGAATCTTAGATTATACACTGCTTTCCCTTTACAATGCCTTGCCATCATATCAGCAGGGCTCCAGTATAATAACTGTGGATTATAACTGAGAGAGCAGCAATTGTTCATTTAACAGGCATCTTAAAACAATATCAAAATATTCCTACCATTCAGTAGTCCGTTTAATGGGTATGAGGATACCTCAAGCACAATTTTGACTCAAATATTACATCCTTAAGATATTATTTAGCTAAAGCTAACTTAAATTCAAGAAACTATCCCCCTAAACAACATCTTTAGACAATATTCAGAATTAGCTCCCAATGCTGACAGTCCTAGTGCCCCTTGGACATTTTTCTTGACGGCCTAAAGCCAGAAGTTGCAAATAATGCATGTAAACAAAAAATTGACTGAAAAAATTATCCCATCGTATGAACTTCAACATTTTGCCAAACCTTTAAAGAGACTTGACATACCAAAAACAAACAAACAAACAAAAAACTCTCATAAGAAAATGTTTATCCTTTTTGCCTAAAAGAGAAATTATTTTGGTTAACATGGGAGGCACCCTCTACTTCATCTCTCTATCTGGGGCATTAATAATTCTGGCTTTCTTACTGAAGTAGAAGATACGTAGCAAAACTTATCATGTTAGCCATTTTAAAGTATATGGTTCAGTGGTATTAAGTCTTAACACATTAACATTGTTGTGAAGCCATCACCACCAGCTGTGTCCCAGACATTGTTTTTCATCTTCCCAACGGAATTTTTTCATGTTACCAACTGAATCTCTACCTATTAAGCAATAATTCCCCAATCCTTTTATGCCCAGACCTGGCAACCATCATTATACTTTGTCTCTGCATTTTGACTACTCTAGGTACTTCACATAAGTAGAATCACAGTATTTCTCTTTCTGTATCTGGTTTATTTTACTCAGTACAGTTTCTTCAAGATTCATCAATATTGTAGCATGTATCAGAACTTTATTCCTTTCTAAGGCTGGCTACTGTTCCCTAGTATTTATATATCCGCTTTTGGTAGTCCATTTGCCATGGACGGATGTTTGGATTGTTTCTACCTTCTAGTTACTGTGAAATGCTGCTAGAAACATTGATGTGCTAGTAATAGTTTGAGTCCCTGCTTTCAGTTCTTTGGAGGTATATACCTATCTAGAAGTGGAATTGCTGGATCATATGGTAATTCGATTTTTAAATTTTTGAGGAACTGCCAAACTGTTTTCCACAACAACCTCACTATTTTACATTCCCACCAGCAATGCATAAATGTTCCAACTTCTCCATAACCTCATTACCATTTGTTACTTATTTTTTTTTGGATCATATACATTAAAATGGATGTGAAATGATACCTTTTTTTTTTTGTTTGAGACGGAGTTTCGCTCGTTACCCAGGCTGGAGTGCAATGGTGCAACCTTGGCTCACCGCAACCTCCGCCTCCTGGGTTCAGGCAATTCTCCTGCCTCAGCCTCCTGAGTAGCTGGGATTACAGGCACGCGCCACCATGCCCAGCTAATTTTTTGTATTTTTAGTAGAGGCGGGGTTTCACCGTGTTGACCAGGATGGTCTAGATCTCTTGACCTCGTGATCCACCCACCTTGGCCTCCCAAAGGGCTGGGATTACAGGCTCAAGCCACCACGCCCGGCCCATGAAATGATATCTTATTGTGGCTTTGAATTAAATTTTCCTAGTGATTAGTGATGTGGAGCATCTTATGCATTTATGTATCTTCTTTGAAGAAATATCTACTTAAATCTTTTGCCCAGTTTTGAATCATCTTGTTTGTATCTTTTGTTGTTGTCAAGTTATGGCAGTTTTTTTGTATATTCTGGATATTAATCTTGTATATATATATATATGATCTGCAAATATTTTCTTGTAATCCATGAGTTGCCTTTTCACTCTATTGATAGTGTCCTTTAATGCACAAAACACTTTTATTTTGATTAAATCTATTCTCTTATTGGCTGTGCTTTTGATGTCTATGATCCAAGAAATCATTGCGAAACCCAAATCATGAAACTTTTCCTTTATACTTTCTTCTAAGACCTTTATAGTTTTAAGTCTTATGTTTAGACCTTTGATCCAGTTTGAGTTAGTTTATGTATGTGTACTATGTATATATCCACATGCAATGAGTGAGGCTGGGCTCTTATTTATACTATATATATACATACATATTCCATATGTATATATAAAATATATAATATATATGCATACATATACATATATTACTTTATATATGTGTATATATACACTATATGTATACAAAGTATATAATATATGTATATATACACTATATATACATATATACGAAGTATATATATGTTTATATATATATAACATATATATAAAGAGTGAGGTTGGGCTCTTATTTATACTATATATACACATATGTATAGTATATATAATATACATATATGTATACTATACATATATACACATACTATACATATACATGTATACATATATACACATATATATAGCATACATGTATACTATACATATGCATACTATACATAGTATATATATGTGTATATATAGTATAATATATATGTATATATATATGTGTGTATATATATAAATAAGAGCCCAACCTCACTCTTTACATGTGGATACACTGCCCATCTTTCCCAGTATCATTTGTTGAAAATATGTCCTTTCCACATAGTCTTGGCACCCTGGTTGAAAGTCATTTGAATATACATACAAGGCTTTATTTCTGGGCTCTCTATTCTATTCTTTTGATCTATATGTCTGTCTCATGTCTGTCTTCCTTTCTTCTTTTCTTTTGAGATGGAGTCTCACTCTGTCACCCAGGCTGGAATGCAGTGGCGTGATCTTGGCTCACCTCCACCTCCTGGGTTCAAACGATCCTTCTGCCTCAGCCTCCCAAGTAGCTGAGACTAGAGGTGCATGCCACCATGTCCAGCTAACTTTTGTATTTTTAGTAGAGATGGGGTTTCACCATATTGGCCAGGCTGATCTTGAACTCCCAACCTTAAGTAATCTGCCTGCCTCGGCCTCTCAAAGTGTTGGGATTATATATAGATCTGTCTTTATGCCACACTGTTTTGATTGTTATAGCCTTAAAGAAAGTTTTGAAATCAGGAAGTATGAGTCCAACTTTATTCTTTTTATTCCAGATTGTTTAGGCTATTTGGACTTTCTTAAGACTCCATATAAATTTAAAGATAAAAATTTCAATTTCTGCAATAAACATCATTAGAATGTAAATAGGGATTGCACTGAGCCTCCAGATTGCTTTGGGTAGCAGTTTTATCTTAACAATATTAAATATTGTAATTCATGAAAACAGGCTATCTTTCTTTTTATGTGTGTCTTTAATTTCTTTCAACAATGTTTTGTAGTTTTCAGTTTACATGTCTTTCACCTCCTTGGTTAAAGTTATTTCTAGGTATTAAATTATTTTTGATGCTATTATAGGTAGAATTATTTTCTTAATTTCATTCTTGGGCTATTCATTCTTAGTGTACAGAAATGCCCTAGCTAGAACTTCCATTACTATGATGAATAGAAGTGATGGTTCTTATCTTCTTCCTGATCTTAGTGGAAAATCATGCCACCTTTTCACACTGAGTATGATGTTAGCCGTGGGGTTTTCATATACAGCCCTTATGGAGTGTTCTATATGTGTCTTTAGGTTCAGTTTATTTATAGTGTTGTTCAAGTCATCTATTTCCTTACTGATATTCTGTTTAGTTTTTCTTTTCTTCTCTCTCTCTCTTTTTTTTTTTTTTTTTTTTTTGATGGAGTCTTGCTCTGTTGCCCAGGCTGGAATGCAGGGACTTGATCTCGGCTCACTGCAACCCCTGCCTCCCGGGCTCAAGGAATTCTCCTGCCTCAGCCTCCTGAATAGCTGGGACTACGGGAGCTAATTTTTGTATTTTTAGTAGAGATGGGGTTTCACGATGTCAGCCAGGATGGTCTCCATCTCCTGACCTTGTGCTTAACTCACCTCAGGCTCCCAATCTGGTTTTTCTATCCATTACTTTATTTTTGTTTTTAGAGATGGGAATCTCGCTATGTGGGCCTGGCTGGACTTGAACTCCTGGCCTCAAGCAGTCTGCCTGCCACAGCCTCCCAGGTAGTTGAGATGAAAGGCGTGAGCCACAAAGTCCAGCTTTTATGCATTATTTTTAATGGAGTATTGAAGTCTCTATTACTGTAGAACTATTTCTAACTTTAATTCTGTCAATATTTGCATCAGAGTTAGGTCTTAATGTTATTACACGCTGGTCTGATGCTCATGGCCAGGCCATTTTGTTTCCTGTTGGACATAAACAATCTCACAGAAGATTATCAACTGCAGAAGGTTAAGCTGAGACCGTGATAAGTGCAAACAAAAACAAAGGCACTTTATAATGTGGTCTAAGTGCAGATAAAGAACAAGGTCTTGATGCCACCCACAAATACTTAAGCATCAATCATATTGCCCTTGCTTTCTGACAGCATCCAAAGTCCTCACTTTCTGAGACCCTACCAGAAATTAACCAATCAAAGCCCAAATCCTCTAAGAGTTTCTAACTCCTCCCACTGAGATGACCCACAGTACCCCATTCCATGCTGCAGCGTGTAATTATATTTAATTACAAGTGTGCTCCTGGTGGTCTTTAACTCAAGGGCACTGACTTGGTCACTGGTGAAGTTCCCCCTAGGAGCTGAGTCAGACACCATCTTAGGGCCCCGCACATGATAGGCGCCTGCTCTAAGGCGTGGACCCTCGCGACAGCCGCGGCCCGCCTTGACTGGCCAGGGTTACTGTTCTTGTCCCAACCGTACAGATGAGGAAACCGAGACTCAGGGCGAGCGACCCCGGGCTTGCGCACCTGCCGCCGTGGCCACTGCTGCGTGCGGAGACCGCTGTGATGCGCGCGCAGGCCAAGTCCAGCGGCGCCTCGGCTCCCACCGGCGCCTTCCCCAACCCCTGGTCTTTGTCCCCGCCATCGGCTCCGACTCAATCCCGTCTTTTTCTAGTCTAGTACTTTTTTTCAGATCTCGATCCCAAATTCCCTCCTGCCGGAATCTGGACTCGAATCCACTCATTGCTCATTTTCCGCTGCAGCTGGAGAGCATCTCTGAGGTCCCGAAAACAGCCTGCCTGCACGGAGGAGACGTCTCCTCAGTATGGCCGCCCCCAGGGACGAGCGATGACGTGCAGGCTGCCATGTTGTTGTTGGGCCTGAGCGGCTTCAGGGAGCCATGTTTGTATGGCTGGCACCGGCCTCACTGAGCATGTGCAGTCGTGGCCGCGCGGCCTCAGAGTTCTGACGTCACAGGGCGGTTCCTGAAGTGGGCGTGGTTGTAAGGGCGAGTTGTTTTAGACAATGCCTCTGAGATCAGTGAATCTAATCTGGAAATAGATAGTAGGCAGGGTCAGTAATGCTGCCTCTGGATCAGGGACCTGAGCTATGTGGGGTTAGAGAGGGGCCCTCCGCAGGCAAGTCTCTGGGGAGTGTGGTGAGAATCCTTGTGTCAGATGCTGGGAAGAGGTGGGGTCGGGGCTGGGGTCCGTGGGCCGAGGGCTTGGGGGGATGGTCAGCGTCAGGCATCAGTAGTAGGTATTCTGTGTGCCCTGATCGCCAGTGGAGGTTATAAGTACAGAGTATTCATGAGTTTAGTGATGTTATTTGCCTCTCATTATTTAAATAATTTGAAGTTTTCCCCAATAACTATAGTGTCTTATGAAAATTTCAGAAAATGACCGGTGTTCCGAGTCCGTGATGGGAGTGGGTCAGGAGTCGCTTAGAGCACCTGGAGAGTCCTTGCCAGTTCTTTGGGGATGCGGAGTTCTTAAGACCACCCTGAGACTGTCCTTTGACCTCATTGTGGCCCTTTCTAGATTAAATCTGTTTTCCATGACCTCCTCTGTTCTTCCCATAGGTGAATGGCAGGCATCCAGATCTCCAAGAATAGAGGATTAGAAGAGACTCTGTCACCCATGTCCTCACAGTTATTATTGATTTGTGCCAGTTGCTCATTTCCTCACTTCCTGTTTGTCATGGAGTATTAATAAACCTTTGATTATTTAAAGATATTAGCCCTTGATTTTCAAGTATTGCATATTTTGACATGCAAAATTTTGTTAAGTTTTATTTTTTCCAATGGATTTACCTGTATAGTTGGGCTTGAGGAGGCTTTCTCATTCTACGTGTTACTATGGATTTTCTAATATTAACATGGAGTTGTATTTTTTCCATATAACTTTCTATTGAATTTCTTTTTCCATATGATAGGTGGTGAAAGTTTAGCTCAGTATAGCAGAAAGGTTAAGAGGTTAGATCAGGGGCTCTGGAGCCAGACCTGTTTAGAGCTTAGTCCTGGCTCTGGCACTCGAAAGCTGTGTGACCTTGGCCAGGATACTTGGCCGTTGTTTGCCTCAGTTTCCTCATCTGCTAAATGGGAAAATACAGGCACCTGCTCCATAGGGTAGTTGTATGATTACACAAGTTAATATACTTCAGTCACTAGCAAGAAAGTGAATGTCAAGCTGTATTTGTTCAGGCAGCCATATGGTAGCTCCACTTCATTAGTAAACTGAGGTATTGAAGTATCTTCTTTTTCTTTTTGAAAATATTTGTTAAGAACTGCTGTGTTCTAAGAACTGTTCTAGAGCTTTGGATGCTGTGGAGGTCTAGGAATTTACATTATGGTGGCAGGTGACAGACAATACAAAGAGATAAAGCAATTTCATGTAGTGATAAGCTAGGGAGGAGTGCTAAAAGGAGCCAAGGTGTAGACGGTGACTGGAAGGTGACCAGAGAAACCGCTGGAGGGTTTCTAAGTGATGAGATCTATGACAAATCCCTGTGGTCACCAGGGGGCATTGGGTGTGTAACTATTCTGTCTCATTGATCTTGTAGTCTACCCTTGTCTGCTGTATTGTTTTAATTACAGAGTCTTTGTAATAATCTTTAATACCTGGTGGAGTACTCTGTTTACTTATTTTTGCATAATTAACAACCCCTAAACTTAACTTACTGTCACATCTCATGTTCTGTGGGGTCACTGCTCTCCATGGTTCTAGGTGGTTCTGCATGGGGCCACTCACATGTGCTGCTGTCAAATGTTAGCTGGGGCCACAGTCATCTGAAACTCACTTACATGGCTGGCGGTTGATGCTGGCTGTTGCCTGGAGAATAGTGACTAAGTTCAAGGAAGAGCTTCCCAGGAGCAAGACTTCCAAGAGACCCACGTAGAAGCTTAGTTTCTTTCTTTCATTTTTTTTAAAAATTGAATCCTAGAATTCCCAGAATGGAATTTATATCATATTCTATTGATCAAACAAATTGCAAGGCAGCCAGATTCAATGGGAGGGGAGTTATTCTTCAACTCTTGACAAGCAATGTGTGTTGAGGAAGGGAAAGAATTGATGGTAGCTGTCTTTGATTAATGCCACATAGAGCAAGGTCTCCTCACTCCTTTCTCCCGTAATAACTTTCCATTTAAAAATTTTCCTTGCAATTCTCACATCTTTATTATTTCATATAAATTTTAGAATCAATTTTTTCTTGTCTAGATAACAATGTCATTTGGATTACATGTATGCATTATATGGGAGAAGAATTGGCATCCTTATAATATGAATCTGCTCATTAAGTTACATGGTCTATTTACTAAGGTTTCATATTTTCATAGCATACATGGTGGTATTTCTACCCAGGGTTTTCTCTTTGTCTTTTCATGTAACCCATGAATGAGACCACACTGTTTGTGTGACTGGCCAGTTGCCCAAAGTTTAAGGTGTTAACATGGATGAATTCACTTAATCACTCATCATTTCCTCCTTCCCTCAACCCCTGACAACACTAATCTTTCTGTCTCTGTATTTGCCTATTCTGGACATTTTATGTAAATATGTCATCCAATATCTGGCCTTTTGTGACTGGCTTCTTTCACTTAGCATGATGTTTTTGAGGTTTATTCATTGTGTAGCCTGTATCAGTACTTCATGCCTGTTTATAACTAAATAATCTTCCATTTTTATGTACATATGTATGTGTACTACACTTTCTCTATTCGTTTATCCATTGGAGGATATCTGGGTCGTTTCCAGTGTATTTCAGGAGTCCCCAAGATCATCCTCCACCTTGATTTACTGCTATTCGTACCTTATATGACTTGTGCAGAATGATTTAGCTGGAAATTAGCTGATGGTTAACTAAATCTAGTTCTTCTAAAGACTGTCATTTTCCACTGGTATTACATCCTGAGGAGGCTTTAAGTCTGTCTCCCAATTCATTTGATCATCAATATCAGCATTATCATATGACTTATTTGCATGAGATAATCAAATCAAACCAGCCATGCCAGTGTTTACCTATATTGCATGTTGTAATAGTAGATGCAGCCCCCCCAAAATAAAAGTCAAAAGATGCTGGCACATTCCTGAGGTTCTTCTCAGCCACTAACAATTGGTATAGTTCATCATCACCTGGAATGGCCAAAGTGTCTCCCATGGAAATGTGGCTCAGCTTTGTAGGCTTCCATGTAATTTTGTCAGGGTCCAAGGCAGGGCTGGTTTTGGTGGTCTTGTTTCTACTTTGTCTATGATGAATAATGCTGCTGTGAACATTCATGTGTATGTTTTTGTGTGGCTTCATGTCGAAGTATGTGCCTTTGAGGGGAATTACTGGATCATGTGATAACTCTGTTTTAACTTTTTGAGAAACTACCAACGTGCCTTCCAAAACACACATAACATTTTACATTCCCTCAGCACTGGGTGAAGGTGCTCGTCCAGTTTCCCATTCTTGCTGACACTTCTTATTGTTTGTCTTTGGAGTTTAGTTATCTCAGTGGGGTGAGGCTGGTATCTCCTTGTGTTTTGATTTGCATTTCCCTAGTAATGAATGTTACTGAGCATCTTTTTCTATGCTTATTGGCCATTTTTCATCTTTTTGAAGAAATGTCTATTCATCGTTTGCCCATTTTTAAACTGGGTTGTCTTTTTATTGACTTATTAGTGGTTTATATAGTCTGGAACATTTGTTCCTTATCACATATATGACTTGTAAATTTTTCTCCCATTCTGTTGTTATCCTTATATTCTTATGTAACCTTTGTATAGTCTGTTTTCATGCTGCTGATAAAGACATACCTGAGACTGGGCAAGTCACAAAAGAAGGATGTTTATTGTTACGGTTCCATGTAGCTGGGGAGGCCTCACAATTATGGTGGAAGATGAAAGGCAAGGAGGAGCAAGTCACATCTTACGTGGATGGCAGCAAGCAAAGACAGAACTTGTGTGGGGAAACTCTCATTTTTAAAACTGTCAGATCTTATGAAACTCATTCACTATCATGAGAATAGCACAAGAAAGACCAGCCCCCATAATTCAGTCACCTCCCACTGGGTTCCTCCCACAACGCCTGAGAATTGTGGGAGTTAAATTCAAGATGAGACTTGGGTGGAGACACTGCCAAACCATATCAACTTTGAAACAAAAGTTTTTAATTTTAATGAAATCCAGTTGATCTATTTTTTTTTTTTTGTTTTGCTGCTTGAGCTTTTGGTGAATGCCGTGTTTTGAAATATGTCCCCACAAAACTCATGTTTGGAGCCTTGTGCACTGTTGGTAGGAATCTAGATGGCCAGGATGGAAAACAGTAGCTGTTCCAACTTCTGTCTGTTACCCAGTTCCAAAGTCACTTCCACACTTTCAGGTATCTTTATAGCAATGCCTCACTTCTCTGGTACCAATTTTCTGTATTAGTTTGTTCTCACATTGCTATAAATAACTACCTGAGACTGGGTAATTTATAAAGAAAAAAAGGTTTAATTGGCTCATGGTTCCACAAGCTGTACAGGAAGCATGGGTGGGAAGGCCTCAAGAAACTTACAATCATAGTGGAAGGTGAAGGGGAAGCAAAGGTATCCTCACATGGCCAGGAGGAGGGTAGGGGAAGTTGATACACAGTTTTAAACAACCAGATCTCATGAGAACTCTATCAATAGAACAGAAAGGGGGAAGTCCACCTCTGTGATGCAGTAATTTTCCACCAGCTCATCTTCCAACCCTGGGAATTACAATTCAACATGACATT